CTTCTTTCTTCTTCTTATTCTTTCTCTCTCTCTTCTCCCTTTTTCTCCCTCTCTTCCTTCCTTACCAATTTGTTGGGTTCTCAAACCTAGATATGAGTTCTCAAAATAGCAAATTTAGGAGTCAAAGGTTCAAGAAGGCAAACAAACTTTGAAAGCACATTGGATTTGGAGATGAATGAGGAGACCAAAGAACATGTTAGAGATCACCTTGCACCGATGGGTGAAGAATTGAGGCTATTGACGACGTTGAATGATAGGTAAAAGCCACTTAATGTCACCAAATCTCCATTTCAACACTCACCCGAATATGAATGGGATGATGATGAGGGAGAGATTCTCAAGGAAGTAGAGAAGTCAAAGAAAATTGAGGAGAAAATAGTGGTGAAAAAATTGAGAAAATAACGATGAAGAATCAGAAGGTGCTGGTGTAGTAATGGTTCTAAGATGATAATGCTTTCAAGAGGTGATAGTAGTTGAAAATCTAGAGAAGAGTGGAAGGTGATCTAGTAGAGGTTGAGATGATTGGAGAAGCCAAGGTCGCTGGAAACAAAGATCAAGAAAAATTGAGAGAAAAAGGGGTTGATGGCTTGGAGATTGGATTTAGGGTTTCTTGTGTTTATAAGATGTATATAATGTTTCCATTTCAAGGGATAGAAAGAAGGGCACAGTCCTATAGAGAGTTTATAGGGCAAACCTCACCGTGGTTATTGCTATTGTCAGCTCCTGCTGGATTTGGTGCTGTGGACTTATTTGACGTTGAGATGCCAAGGTTTGAACAATCCAATCCAATTGAACCTAAATTGACATTCCAAAACACAGGTCAACAGTTTTGTCTCTTTTTTTTTTTTTTTTTTTTTTCTTTTTTTATCTCATGATGAATATCATGAATTGAAGCAACACTTAATAATAAATCTTTCCAAATTTATTTATCTAGACTGGTAGAATTCCACTTTTTACAGTAAGAAGGATTTTCTTTCCATAAACAGACACACAGTTGTAAGAGGAGTGTGTTCTTACATTCTTGGAAACATGGGAAGGCAGAGATATTGAGAAGATTAAAGAAACCCTCAGGACAAACACATTTGTATGTAAATGTTGATGTCTTGTTGCATGAGCCCTCTCCACAATCAGCCCAGTGGCAGGCTGACAAACCATTACGCAATGCATCAGCATTAAGAAAAAGAATCAAACTACAAGGAAGAAAGCTTAATAGTAAGGTTCTTACGATCATCGACTGATGTATTAACTCTGGTTGTTTTGTCCTGGACAGGTGCAGGAGCTGCTGAACAAGCATAATTGAGTGTGCCTGAAGATGCCAAACCGTTAGTATCATGCAAGACATGAATTCTGTTAACTACCATTTACTAATATACCAGAAAATTGTGAGATCAGTTAAGTAGTTTCTTAGTTATAATAAAAGTCTAAATCAATCGTATCTATGACCAACAATCCATTTACAGTCAAAAGAAAGATGAAAAATTTTAATCTATGACTCAGGCATGATACTTAAACAGAGAAAAATTATACTTAAACTATATCTTCGCAGGTGATGAAACATGCTGTTTAAGAAAAATCTGTGGATAACTATGAGGAAATATACAAGATGTCATCATATTTGATCGTTTCCAGATCATCCCAGAAAAAAATTAGTGAGTATGTAGTTAAAAATGAATTTAGAGATAGAAAGTCTCTATTTTCCCATTGTCGGAGCTTACAGTTGGGGATCATGCAAGGGAGAAACTTGTTGAGATCATCATCATGATCATCATTGGCAAGAGTCCGTTTCCACCCAGGATCGCATTCGCACTCATAAGAGGAGGTGCAATTCTGAGACGGCTTGCATTTTCCCTTTCCACATTCCACTTCTTTGCACACTTCATCTGCAAAAGGAAAACAAGAAAAAAAAAAAAAAAAAACAGTTGATAAAAAGACATAAAATTAAAAACCCATCTAAAAAAATCGAATTTTTTAAGCTCATGAGCCAAAAGCAAGAGAAGGGCAATGAAGAAGCAACGAACCGGGAATTAAAGAGAAAATAGGAGACAAAGAGTCGCTCAGAGTTGTGGTGGGATGGAGAAGTAGGAGGATTGAGAGGAAAGCAATGGCATCAGGAGAAGCCATAGCTAGAAGATGCAGAGTGGGAAGAGGGGGTGGTGATTGTGGTTTGGTGTGTATTTGAAGAGTGGGAACCGTGAAGTTGAAAGGATTGACGTGGCTGATCCGCAAGACCTTGAAAACGGGTTACACGGCTCCGATTTGGACCCGTTTAAACGGTCACCTCCTCTCAATTATGAATTATCCCTACGTGCACTTCAACATTAATTTGTCCATAAAATAATAATATTATAATAAGAAATATTTTTTAATTTAAATTTATATTTAATTTTTTAGTATATTTAATAATAATAAATTATATAAAAAATAATATTTTTTTTTATCAAATTCAAATTTTAAAATTTAAATTTGATTAAATGCTAAATTTGGTCTCTTAACTTTAGTGAGTTGCACATTTTTGGTCCCTCAACAATTTTTTACACTTTTTTAATCCTTAAACTTTTAGAAATGCACTTTGTTAGTCCTTCTGTTAATTTTGATCGTTAACTCGCTCATGTGACATTTTTTATTATTTTTTTAATGACATGGCAAAAACAAATTAAAAATGTGTTGATATGGATTTTTTTTTATGCCAACTCACATGATTACTATTTATATTTAAAAAAAATAAAAAAAATTCCGTCTTCTTCCTTTCTCTTTTTCTTCCTCTTCTTCCTCTTCTTTCTTCCTCTTCTTTCTTCCTCTTTTTCCTCGGGCTAGGCCATTGAACCCAGTTTGCTGGGTTTGACGGAACCCAGCAAATGGATTCAATGGCTTGGCCCGAGGAAGAAGAGGAAGAAAGAAGAGGAAGAAGAACCCAGCAAATGGGTTCCATCAAACCCAGATCTGCTAGGTTCGACGAAACCCAGAATCCAGCTCCACTTTTTTTTTTTTTGTTTATATGATTGTTTGCCAAGAGATTTCCAAATTGCAGGTTGTTGTGAGGTATTTTTGGGCAACTGGTTTTTTTTTTTTT